CTCTAGCGAGCCTAGGCGAAGGCTGCCATCATGGCGCTGAGCCTCGGAAGCGTTGTTTTTCGTGGTCCGCCCTGAACCGACCATCTATACACAGGCGCGAGAAGGGCCTATCGTTTGGTAAATGGCTGTATTGACCGCGGGAAACTACCGAAAACCCAGGCCTATGTAGGCCGACAGAGTCTCACATGAGCCTTGTTCTTCGATGCCTTGCCTCTGGATCTCTTCCGCTCGGGTCGCGCCAAACTCTCAGCGCATCGTGATGCGGATGGATGTGGTTAGTCTTCGGGACTTGCGCCCACCGAGAGGCGCAGATGAGTTGGAGTCGCCGGCGGTGATCAGAATGCAGGCTTCTTTGCCTCTCGGGTTGGGGGCATTGCGCCATGATGAGGTACTACCGAGATACCAGTCTGGATACACACCTTGAGCACGCCGGCTGCCAGAATTCGCCACGCGCTGACATCGAGTTGCCCTGTGAGGTGGTCCCAAACGATCACGAGCTACTGTATAGTATGTCAAGGCTTGGACTTGCGTTACTCTGCTAGAATGTGGTGCCGATCTCTGGCGTGAGGGAGTGCAGCTCTGTGCAGCTGCCGGCATCCTTGACTCCCCGCTTGACACGTCTATCAAGAGATACGTGTGATTAAGATGTGCCACATCCGCTTTGTATGCTGCCCACACCTCCAGGGTAATATGGGCAGCTCGACCACCACTTGAACGATATGTTGACGATATGGCATATGCATGTTGACTGGAGCACGAGCCCGCCTGCAGTAGGCCGTGTTATAGGAGCGTGTAAGGAACGGTTACATATGGCCGCCTGGCGTAATGGCAACGCGTCTGACTACGATGACCTGAAACGATTGTCGACAATCAGGAGATTGCAGGTTCGACCCCTGCGGTGGTCAATCTTCCCATCTTATATAGCTTTTTGGCACTATTGTGCATCGGATACCTTGAGATAACCTTCAAGTCGTGAAGTTGTGGTGGACCATACATCAATAAGTTTGATGCAAACCTTCTCAGTATGAGACTACACTGTTCGCGGCAGCGCTGAAAACCTGAAAACCTCCTCCTTGTCGCGCTCCTCTGCTCACCCAGCGGAGTCACTCAGATGATTAGCTGAACCTCAGACCGCCAGGTGCCTTTGTTTTCGTGCTTGTCATGTCACTGCTGGCAGTGGCTGGGGCACTGCTAGGTGTGCAGCCTTGCGCTAGGCACCAGCGGGCTATGATGACTTCCATCTAACGATCCAGCCATATGATCACTGAACAGCACCACGCACAGTTGCCAAACAGATCCACTGGCCCCTGCATGAGTCGCTGTGACGATGAGAGATACTGACTGATTGCCACCACTGGCTGGTGACTCTGAACACCACTTCCCTTAAACCAATGTCTGCAGTGGCGAGTACTTACATTCTCGTCAGACAGTCCAGATCGCCTATCATCACGCCGGGTGTAAGTGACATTGGTCACAGATATTTAAACCAGCTTCATATATGCCCTTGTAGCTGGTGTGTAGGGTTCAAGAACATATCGGAGAAGTGCCAGCTCATGCATCAGTGGAACTGTAAATGGTAAAACACTTGTTGATCTTGTTGGGGTGATTAAGAGCCAACAAGATCAACAAGCAGCTAGAGGACCACACTTGCTGGTCTTATTGGCCCGAACAAGCGCCAACAAGACCAACAAGTGTTTTGCGGTTCCACTGATGTGCCTGGCGGGCACAGGGATGCCGAACTTGATGACAAGGTGCAAGTTGAAGGGTTATGGTCCCTTCAGTCACAGCTGAGCTCTTGACTCCTCTATTTGTGCTAATCACTCATCTGACGCATTCCATCTAGCAGCTGAAGCTTCCAGAACTCTGCGTACCAGTGATACTCGACATTTGGTGATCCGGCGCAGCACAAGTGGCCTGAACAGGCCACAAATGGTCTGCCCCAACTACAGAGATACTCAGAGCATGCTGACGGTCAATGTTGCAGCAGATTGCCATCCGAGTTGACTGCCCGCTCATTGTGCTATGCATCCGGGTGCATGGATATCAGGTTCAAGAGGCCCAGGGGAGGTACACTTATTGATACTTAATCTCCACGAGAAGCCAATCCTATCCGCTCATCCTCAGATCCTTGGATCTGGTCGCCCAGTGTGTGACACCCATGGACACAGCTTCGATTGACTAGTATGTTGGTCGGCTTGGAAACTTTTCAAACATCACGACTGAACATTGACTTTGATCAAGGAAACCTCATCGCATGTTGTATCACGCAAACAGTTGCAATAATATCATGCAGCGCAGTCTCAAGGTATAAAGCTCTGGGGTCCTTCGTACAATGGACTCTGCCACTGCACTCTCATTTTTTCGACTAAGCGACGACCATTCAGCATGTCTTCTGATGTAGATGCTGCTGCTGGTGCTCTTGTGGCCCTATTCGATACCCTGTATGTCTCAAGGCCGCCTACCATGGAGGTGGCTTGCTGACAGCCCAGAACAGCAAAACCCAGGGATACTGTTTGGTGGCGGCTTCAGGTGCGTATTTTGCATTCAATGTGTTGAAGTCCCTCCTTTTGACTAACAAGCTCTGGTCCAGTTCTGTTCATCTACGAAACTGTCATCATGTTCACTCGGGAAGTGGCATGTTTCTGGACTGCTAGGTGGACCGGGGCCACGCTCTTGTTCTTCGCAACCAAGTGGCTTGCAATGACGGTTTATGTTATGATCGTAGTCCAATTCACGTCTTTCCCTTCGGATAAGGTGAGCTGACTCAGTCCACGTCATGGCACTATCTGACCTGGTCCTGTCACCTGGATCAGAGGTTTGTGTATCAATTTCTCAGAGCACCATGCAACGACTTTGACATGTGCAGTTGTTCCGTGTTCCAGATCGCAAATGAGGCAGTAATAATACTGGAGCTCGTCCCTGCTGCCAGTAAGTCATGCCTTCAATGCTTAGAACACAGTATCTGATGCATCACCACAAGTATTCTCCGCTCTCCGTGCATTTGTGTTGAGCAGGAGCAAGCTCCTTGGACTACTTGTGCTTGGTCTGTCTCTAGCGCCAGCAGGTGTGAACCTGGTGAGCGGATGGATCCTCCGACTCATGATCACACTGGACACTGACTGGTTGACGGT